TTCCTCCTCGCTCCATTGTAGGCCTCAAAGTCTGATATCAAAACTCCCATGCAAATAAATCCTCACGTAGATGGGTCGTGAATATCATAATGTCAATGGCGTGATTATTTAGATAAGAGAGCCATCTTCCCAATGAAAGTTAATCGGCATAGGCTTTGGAGTGTGTCTTTTTACCAACGAAGTGCAGCTGATCGATGGATGTTTAACGCTGCATGTGAATATCTTGCTCATAGACCGTACATCATGGTTTCTGCCTCACACCAGTCCCAAAACTTCCTTGCCAATGAACTTTCGCTGCTTGGAGACGATTGAAACCCATCGGAAATATTATCTGGGATGCACCCAAAACGGCCCCATGGAACGATGTATGACCCGTTCTTTTCGTTCGTCACCTTGGGGGAGCAAGCTGCGAAGAGCTCGCTGTAAGCCCCGAATTTTGACGGCTTGAAAACGACGCCCTATATTGATAGGCGTGAGATAAGAACTCTCGATGTTCATGTGCTCTGATACGTACCATTATTTTGCCCATTGCAGCTGGTGCATGTCTCTGCAGCTCTGTCTTTACAAGACCTGGGTTGACGCTCTGTGTATCGTGAGTCGCAAGACCTTACTCGAAAGGGTGCGACGTCCACTTACCACTGAGATGATACCATCATTCTCCGTCTTGTTTGCGAATTCTTTTGCCAAGAATACAACACCGACTTTACTTTGCATATAATCACCCATCGAGTCGCCCAACTCCTTTGGTGCGTCATTTGCAGCATTCCAAACGACGCCGCCTTTCGGAGCTCCGAGAGAAATCATGCTGGCGATCCACACAACTCTCACACTGCCCTTGGCGACACCTTGCATTGCAGCTGCATCACGCAATCTCTCTTGCAAGCATCTGGTCAAGAGGAAGGGGCCCAGAGCATTTGTACCCATTTGCAATTCATGGCCTTGGGCGCTCCTGCTGTCCTTGGGAGGCATCATGACGCCTGCATTGTGAACAAGAACATCAAGTCTCGTTTCCTTGGCGAGAAAAGAATCTGCTGCTGGCTTGATTGTTGTCAGATCCGAGAGGTCGAGCACTAGCGACTCGAGACGTCCTTGACTCGACGGGTAAAGCGATTCGAGCTCCTTGATGGCTGCGGCAATCTTAGAGGCGGATCTTGTGGCGATGTGGATAGTTGCATTAGCGGCGTAGAGGATCTTGCAGAGTTCCAAGCCAATACCGGAAACTCCTCCGGTAATGAAGAAGACCTAGCAATGTTAGCTGAGGGAGTGTAGTCGTAGCTATTATGGGTGGGAGCTTACTCTGCCACTTTGGTCCGGCAAATAGTCTTCTGTAAATGTTGGTTTAGGTGGAAAGAGTTGGTTGAGGTTGCGTCCGGCCATGTTGGTTGCAATGTTGACGGTTGGTAAAAAGTGGCTGACATGAAGTTGTTCAATTGATGCTGTGAGATGAGCAGCACGTACAAATGGTTTTATTATTTGTAGCAAGAATTCAAACTGAGATGTAACATGCACTATGGATCAACATATAAGTAGTCGATCCATCCTGTTCGATATCTAAAATATGTTGCGCGGCCTGGCGAGTCGGCGCACACGATCTAACCAAGTACGGCGCCGCAACATGGCTTCAACATTGCTCGGTTCACAATGATCGGAACTTCATTGAGATTGGCCCCATAATTACCGATCCTGCGGGACGGATCTGCTCCGGCCTTGGCTTTCGCCGAAAAGTCGGGCGGAAAAGAGCTACTTCAGTAAAAAGCCGGCGCCGATCGGGTTTACGGGCATGTTCGTGCCCCAGTAAACCCGATCGCGAGATCCTTCGCGCTTGCACAGCCCAGGAATCAATAAACAGTAACAAAGGGGGGCGCAAGCTGATTTCGACATCCTCAAAGCAATGCGTGTTCATTAGTTCTCACTTTTACTGCGTTGATTGGCCTGGTTATGAGGCAACGGCTCAGCTGCCGCGCGTCTGACCTGTTTTCGCCATGGAATGCAAATGTGTGAAGGAATCGGAGAGGCCATAAGACCAGTCAATTTCTCAAGATCCGTATGTACAGGGAATCATGTATGTCCAAGAATTTTAAACCGCCCTGGTGATTTAGCCAAATGCATCAATCGTACTTGTATTTAGCAAGAGCTCGCGCCGTTGCCAGTGAAAGAACCGGACTGGTACGCTCCGCTGGCGTCGTCAAGGCACTCGGCTAAAATTTTCATCAGTACTATTCATCAATGCAGTAGATTATTTTTCACTTACCAACAGTAACAAGCTTGAGGTTGTTCTGCTTAGCCCAGTTGATCAACCAGGGCGTCAGGGTCTGCACCGTGGTGGCGTAGGTCTCGTGCATGAGAGGGATGTGTCCGTTGCCGCTGGCGCCGGCGGCCGTGAACTTGGCCTCGCTCTGCGCAGGGGTCTGGTTGTTCCAGTCGCCGCTGTCGACATCATCCGTGATGACCTTGTAACCAAGAGATCCCATGGTCGAGAGAACGGAGCCGCCGGTGGCCAGGTACGGCGGGCGCATGTAGGCGGGCTTCTTGCCGATGATGTTGACCATGGCCTGCTCGAGCTTCTGCATCTCGGTGGTGAGCTGCGAGGAGCTCAGACTGCCAAAGTTGGAGGGGTGCGTCCAGGTGTGCGAGGCGATCTGGTGGCCGGAGTCGAAGGCCTTCTTGACGGCGGTCTTTTGGTTGTAGATGCAGCCGTAGAGAGTTCCCGTCATGAAGAAGGTGGCCTTGGCGCCGCCGTTGTTGAGGATGTCGACCAGCTGGGAGGTGTACTGGTACGGGCCGTCATCGTAGGCGAGGGCGAGGACGCCGGGCTTGGAGCACTTCTGGATCACGACGCCAGCGCTGGGGGCGCGCTTGATCAGGTCGAGGGGCGACTCGATGGGAATGGCCACAGCGCTGGTAGCCAGCAGCAGGGCGGTCACGGCGGACTCGAGGAAGTGCATGGTAAGCGATTGCGAATGTTGAAGTCAAGAGTAGTCGGAAGCGAAAGATCGAGACACCAGGCCTTGAAGAAGAACAGGAGAATAAAGGAGAGACCCGGCTTCGAGCTTGCCTATATATATGCCTGTTTGAGTTGAGTCTTCAACTGACGACAGTGAGCCCACTTGGACCACTCCAATCTCGTCGATCCAAAGAATTAGAACACGCGGGAGAAGCTCCTTTGTGGGGTTTTCGGAGCGACAACATGGGAATCGGCCGGGCGAGATCCCATTCGGGAGTTCGCTTCACGGCAACAGGAAAACCTTGCTTGTTCCAGGGGCTGAATACCACTGCAGCAGGCCGGTAGTGAGGGGCTCAAGGGGGTTGCGAGATGGTCGGATGGGCTCGCATCGGGTTAAGTGCGATCATGTAGCAATCTAAGTGAGCCGGGGAAAGCACAGCGAGAACGGCATTGATTGAGCAGTCTCATTTAGGCTCTTTTCCAGGCCACCAGTGCTTAATCTGGAACGGAGGGTTCCGGTCAAAGGGAGATTTTGCGGGTATTGAGCTGGTGATGCGCCGGGATCGCCTGCAATGACCAGGGTCCGTCAGGGGACACGAGGGCGGCTGTTTGGTGCAATATGACGGCTCTTCCAGCTTTGTTACTGGAACCTCTGGACTGCTCCGCACGGTAACCAGTCAACTGCCAGACTTTAAAGCTGGGTTGATGCTTCCTGCGCGGCTGAATCGGCATGCCGGCAGCGGGTGGCCAAGGGAGATCATCCGGAACCTGGGGAAGGCCAAATCCAGGCCACGAGAAGTCGGTACCGTCGTGCGTCGTCTACCGGCTAAATAGAATGCTTCAAGCAACGTGACGTGCTAAATCCAGTGCTGGGACGGGAATGTTGTAGTGCTGCGGGGATGCGGAACTCAGCTGTCAGGAGTTGATGTTCGCTGTCAAGACGCTTACTCATCAACACGGTTCATCTCATCATCATCATCCATCTTCTTTCACGTTCTGAAAAGAGCTCATTGTCATGCGAGATCTCATCTGATTGTTTATGAGCTCCTAGAGTTTCTACAAATTGTCCCTTGTTCCGAGATTGCAGCAACCTGATTTGACGAGCAATCAGCCAGCCACGTTATCGACATGTCCTTCCGGGGTGATCAGGCGCGCCCTTCAGCTGTCATGGCTGAGCTCAAAAGGGGCGCGTCTCATTCCCCCTCATTTTCTGTGAGCAGAGAACTTGCGGACGACAACGTCACCAATTTTGCAAAGGAAGAATCGACTTCAGCATCTCCTCCCTACTCTATTCATTATGGACGTCGAATGTCAATGCGCCACGGTGACATTCAAAACGCCGACCCTCGAGCCCATCGACGTGTACTGCTGCCACTGTTCTCAATGCCGCAGGCAATCATCATCAGCCTTCGGCACCTCCGCCATCTTCCCAGCGGAGGGTCTCTTCCCATTGTCCGATGAGCTCAAAGGAAAGTTGCAGATCTGGACGCGACCGACCAAGAGCGGTGGGCAGATGGACTGCTACCTCTGTCGCGTATGCGGGTGTCGCCTATTTCACCGCATCCGCAACATAGATGGGACTTCTAGACCGACCGTCAGCATCAAAGGCGGATCAGTGGTCGGCCTCAAGCTTGACAATGGAAAGCATATATGGACCAATAGCGCCGTGGTGGATATACCCGAGCCGAATGAGAGTTGGCCTGAGTCGCCTTTTACAATCCCGGGTGAGCAACAGGTCCTTGGGAAGTGATGAGACATGGCCTGGCCTCTATGTTGCACAGACGCTTGCCAGTGTGACGAGTTGATTAAGCGAAGCGTATCTTAAGGCGGTTTCACCCGTCTGAGTGGCTTCTGGAGTTTCTTATGATTTGGTGACAGGACCTCTAGTCGTCATTCGTCTGTGGTTAAAGTCTATGTACAGGTAGTCAACATGGGACAAGAGAAGCAGAACTATTTTACACAAAATATCACCTCATGATTTCCATCTCCTGAACATGAGGCATCATCTAGACAAGTCATCTTGTCTTTCCAGAGACACTGTTAGTCAATGCATCGCTTACGCAGAGCGAGCGGAACGGAAACGCTGGCCGATGCTGCGCTTGCTGCTCATCATCTTAACGCTCTCATCATAGTCGCTGGTACCGTTGTTGGGGTCAGCATCCTTGGCGTTCTCAGCACCGCACTTGGACCCAGCATTGTACGCTCCATCAGGTCCGTCGACGCCGGCGAACTCGCGCTTGTCGTTGGCCTTGAGCATGTTTGTCGCGGCCTCGGGCAGCCAGCCGTTGATAAAGTCGCCGTGAGAGCAGTACGAGCTACCGCATGCGAGCTCGAAGGGCGGCGTTCCGTTCCAGCCGTCGGGGAGAACCTTGCGGAGGTCGTAACGGATGGAGAAGCGCAGCTGGGGCATGCGCTTCATGTTCTCGGGGCAGCGGTTGGCGGGCTTGAAGCCGTCCTTCCAGTTTTGAGTGCCTGAGTAGGCGGACTCAAGGGTCTGCTCGTCGACGCAGTCATGGAAAAGCAGGAGGGTTTGGAGGTGCGTGGAGCACGTCTTCGTCGGGAAGGCTGCAGCATCCTTCGTTTCGCCGTCGTCGCCCTCGCAGAACCACTGGATACCGGCCAGCTCCTCAACATCAGCTTGGGATGTTGCTTTCGAGTTTCCGGCCACGGTCTTGTAGTTTTGGGGGATCGCGACTTCGGCATTCTCGATGGAAACGTAGTAGGCTGAGAAGCGGGAGAAAGGGACGGGAGTCATGCCCGTGTCGTTCTTGATATAGAGCGTAGGAACCCCTTGGACATCGTTAGCAGATGCTTCTCGTGAAAAGTTTAAAGTCAAGCAGCTGTATTAAAAATATAAAAGAACTTACAGTAAGAGGAATAATCGTTGGGGTTCTCGGCAGTCGAGCAGCCGGCCTGAAGCTCCGCAGAGGTGTTAGTGTTGAGAGTGACAGCATCAGAGCCAAAGAAAGTGTGCATATGACTCTTGTACTAGCCGGGAATGACCACCAGGTTGATGTTCTTTCTCATGAAGGGCTCAGCCACGGCAATTGTGTAGGCATTGGCGATGCCAGCACTAGCAAGCAGAAGGGATGTAGTGGGATGCATATTGAAGAGTACAATGAAGAAAGCAAAAGGAACGAACGAACAACTCGAAGAGTTTTGAGGAAGGGTACTGATGGAGGAGAAAGGAATGACTGGCTTAGAAAACAAGACTCCAAACAATCAGATAGGCTGATAGCTTCCTAACGTCCTACACCTACTTCTTAGCTACCCCTATATTTCAGCTACCCTAAAATACCTTATTAAAAATACTTACTACTATTTTTAAACTTAAATAACTTTACTAATCTTTACTTAATTATTATTATTCTTTCTATAAAGTATAATAATTACTAAATATATTAGTATATAGAAAATAAAGTTTCTTAAGTACTTAAAACTATTATAACTAGTATTAGTTTATAAAAAGCTTTATTATAATATAGTATTCCTAAAATAATACTTTAATTTTAAATCTATAATACTTAAGTAAGAGATATTACTTTTTCTAATCTATAAAAACTTTTTATAACTTAGAAAAACTACTTAGCTAAATAGGTTTAAATTTAAGCTATTTTAAGTTTATTTCTAACTTATTAATAACTTAAAAACTTTACTAAATATATTTTATAAGTTTATAGAGATTTCTAGTTTTTTAGAAAGAACTAAGTATAGTTTTTTATTAAGAGAAACTTATTTATAAAAGTTTAAAGAAATAAAATAATTAATTCCTAATATATTAATAAAGCTTTAACTAATATAATTAAGTAATAGTTTAAATACTTTACTATACTTAAAATTATAGTTATTAAAGTCTCTAATTAATATAATATAAATAAGATTAATATTTTAGAAAGTAGAGGATTAAATAAGCTTATTTTTAGATTATTAGAAACTTATTCTATTTATAAAAAATAGCTTAAATTATATATTTAAATATCTCTAATTAAGTATACTTCTATAACTAATAAAATACTATTTTTACTTATTATATATAAAAGTAAAAATATTTAGTAGTAATAGTTCCCTTTAGATTTAATACTATATAAATCCTAGAAGTTTATAGTTATAAAAAATAAGTAAACTTTAAACTTTATAGCTATTAAGTAGTTAATAGATATTTTTATCTCTTTAATTTAGCTAGAGGACCTCTTAGAAATTAGATTATTAATTTTAAATAGTTATAGAAGCTATAAAACTACTACTAGAAGGAGGTAGAAAACTTAGAATTTTTTAGTAATTTTAACTTAAAAAGAAGAGGGTAGATAGGCGTTTTTATAAGCGTTAGGTATTATTATAAGAGGAAAAAAGTTATATAAGTAAATAGAAGCTTAATTAGCTTATAATAAAAAAAACTAAGTAAATAAATAAGAAATATACTTATTTTTATATAAATTCCTATTTTTTCTTTAATAACTTTATTAATTACCCCCTTAAAAAAGCTTTTAGGATTTTTTAGTTTAGTTTATAGAAAAAGTTTATTAATTTTTACTTTTTAAAAATTAAATAAATATAAGTATTTTTAGGTTTTTTTAGCTTTAGTTAGCTTTATTTTTATTTTCTTTCTTAGTTTCTATTATACTTCTTTAATTATTTAAAGTAAAAATAGAGTAGAATATTATAAAAATATTACTATTAAATTTCTTTTTAGTAGTTTATTTTCTCTTAAGAAATTATATAACTTAAAGTATAAAAAGAGTAAAAAATATAGATAAAGTATAATTTAATTAAATTTATATTTATATATTTATTTTTATATTTTTTATAGTTATTTAGAAAATTAATATATAAATATTTAGGTATTTTTAAGAGTTTTCTATTTAAAATAGAGTATTTAGTATAATTAATAAGTTTTTTCTCTTATTTTATTATAAAATTAGTAATTAATATAGGAAAGTAAACTAAACTACTATAGAGGATTTCTTTTATAGTTATTTTATACTATTTTATTAAACTAAAATAAGAAAAACTTAAAAAAAGAAGTAATTTAAGTATTACTATATTAAAAAGAAATTTAGCTAATACCTTTTTAACTTCTATTTTTTTAAAATAAAGAGTAATAGCTTAGATATTTAGAATTAAAAATTAATTAAACTTATAAAAGTTTAAAAAGTTTTAAAAAAAAAAATATCTAATTAAGTAAAAGAAAATAAGTAAAGTTTTATAAAAGTTTAATTAATCCTCTTTATTAATTTATTATTTATTTATTTAAAATTATTATATATTATTTTATTATAAGCTATTATAATAATAACTTAAAAGTAATTAAGATAAAGTAAACTTATTTTATTCTTAATTTTAAAACTAAAATTATAAAAATAATAAGATTTATTTTATCCTTTTTATAAACTTTAAAAAGGATAAAATTAATTAATTTATTTTAAGAAACTTCTTTTTATTTAAACTTATTAAAAGGTTTCTAATAATATATTAATTAGTAAGGGGAAATACTAAAAAACTTAAAAACTTAAGATCTAAGTTATATTTATATATAGAAATATTAAAATCTAACTTTTTTAAATTATAAGTTATTATAAATATAAAAGTATAAAAAATTAAAAAAGAAAAATATTATAACTATATTAACTTTTTAAAAAAAGAAAAGAGGAATATTTTCTAAACTTAACTAAGAATATTTCTCTTTTTTAAGAATAATTTTATATTAACTCTATAAAAAAGAAGATATATATATTTTTTTTATTACTCCTCTTCTATATTCTTAAGTAGTAAATAAATAGCTAAAATAAAGTATTTCTTTTAAAGTTTATAGTTAATATTATAGTTTTATTATAAACTTTATTAAATCTTAAACTTAATTTATAAAAAAGAAGTATTATAAAGTAAAGTTATTAAAGATATTATTAATAATAGCTAAACTTCTCTTATAAAGAGAAAAAAAAGAAACTTAAAGTATAAAGTAATTTTATTATTAAAATAATAAAAAAAAAAAAAATAATAAATATATATATACTTTTTAAATAAAAGAAAAAAATAAAAATAGAAATAATAATAAAAATATTTTTTTTTTTTTATTTCTCTCTTTATTTTTTATTATCTTTTTAAACTTATATTATAAGAATTCTTTTATTACTCTTTTTATTAATAAATTATTAACTTTATTTAAGTTTTATATAATTTTTTTATTTTAGCTTTTTTTAAGAAAGCTTTTTTTTACTTCTTTTTCTATTAATTTATTTATATTTTCTTTAAAATAGTATTATTAAACTCTAAAGTTCTAAAAACTTTAATTTTAGTTTAAAATAAATAACTTAAACTTAAAATAATAGATAATAAAGCTAATTTAATTATTAATAATATTTTAATAAGTCTTTTTATAAGTTTTTCTTTTTACTAACTTTAATAAGAGAAACCTCTCTTAATTTTAGATTTAAATTAAAATTCTAAAGTAATTATAAAAACTAAAATCTTTAAAGTAATAGCTTCTAAAAGTAATACTTTTAGTATAAATATAATACTTAGAGAGGATTTTTTAAAAAATAAAGTAATATAAAGCTATTTAAACTTTATTAAATCTTATTAAAAAACCTCTAAAATATATAGTTTAAAACTCTAAAGGTTTAAAATATTATAACTTAGAATAGCTAAAGTATTATTCTTTATTAGAAATAATATTTTAAAATCCTTAAAAGCTATAAAGTTATAATAAAAGTAGTAAAAATAATTAATATTTTAAAAATATTAAATATTATTTTCTATATAAATATACTTTTTTAAGCTAATAATTAAATAAAACTTAATAAAAAAACTTAGTTATAAGTAAAAATTTACTTTATTTAGTATTATAAAGCTATAGATAAGGATTACTAAGAACTTTTAAATAATTAGATTAATTAGATTATTTTTATAATTTTAATAATAAATAATCTAAACTATAAAATAGTTATATAATTTCTATAAAAGATTAATAATATTTAAACTAAAGCTATAAAATATAACTTTAATATTATAACTAGTTTTTAAATTATCTAAATAGCTATATTAAGATTTAATTAATTAGTTTTAGATAGAATAGCTTTATTTATAAAGATTAATATTTATAAGTTATTTAAAAAGGGGGATTTTAATAAATTTAAAGTTAACTTAATAAATTAATTTAGTTTTAAAGCTACTTAGAAATAAACTTTTTAGATTACTATTTCTATTTATATTTTATTTCTTATATTTCTAAAAGTATTAAAAAGAGAAACTACTCTCTTTCTTTAAACTAAAAAAAGTAAAGCTAAGTTTAACTAAAACGTTAAGAGCTTTTAAAGCTAGCTTTTAAACTAATAACTTTCTAATTTAATAAAAATAATAAATAACTAAAAAATCTCTATTAAAAAGATTACTTATTTTTTTCTAACTATAAAAAACTATTATTTAGTTTTAATTTATTTAGTTAAAGTTAATAAAGAAAATCTTAAACTTTTTCCTTATAACTTATATAGTTAGTATTAATATATAGACTATATAGATTATAATTTTAAAGAAAGCTATTATCTTTAAAAGATAGCTAATAAAAGAAGTAGCTTAATTTAATACTTCTAAAGATATTATTTTTATAAACTATAAAATAATAAGTTTTATATCCTCTAAATAATTATTATTTTATTATAATAAGATAATAAGCTTAACTAAAAAGCTATTATTACTTATTTTAAGAATTAAGATAATTATAAAACTATAAAAGCTTAAATTATTAAGATTTTTAAGTAAAATATTAGCTAATTTTAATTTATATTTATTAAAGTTTTATAAGATTATAATAACTTTAACTTAATTAAAGTTTCTTATAAGTTTATAGAAAAAAGAAATATTATATTAGAAGATAAAATATTTAGTTAAGCTTTTACTTTCTAAGTTTTAGCTATTAGTAAATAGGAATATAAAAATTTAGTTTAGTTTTCTTATTTATATAACTTAATATAACTTAATAGTTTAACTAAAGAAAATTTACTTAATTTTATAGTATTTAAACTTATAATTACTTAGTTAAAAATATATTATAATAAGGTAAAGAAGAAAACTTATTAATTATATTAAGCACTCTATTTTAAGCAGAAAAC